CAAAAGCCTATCCCTTCATTCTTATTTTCTTCACTGAGAGTAAAAGAAAATAATGTTTTGTATTTTCAATACTAGAACGTACATCAAGAAGAAAAGGAAAAAAATAAGGAATAAAAATGGGAGAAACAGAAAATGTAAAAAAAGAAAAAACAAAGAGATGCCCTGACAGGCTAAACAAGAAATGCTATCTCCTGTAAGAAATAGCAGCTACCTTTATCAAAAAATAGCACAAAAATGAACAAAAAAAAAAAAAGAAAAAAGAAAAAGCACTATTATAACCCGTGCTAGGCAAGTATAAAAATTATATAACAAATACAACATTTGTATATTTCTACTATAAAGTTTTGCCTTAACATTATTGTTTCTTTCTAACTATATGACCAACTTCGAAATATTTGGTTTCGATCTAGAACTCAAGACCTGTCCAAATTAGTAGCACCGTATTTGTCAAACACATGGTTGTAATCTATTCAGCTTTTCAGATTTGGGATGTAAACAATGTCAATCTTTTGGAAGGGTAAGCCAAATCCCTACTTTTTGAAAAAAAAAATTTTAAAAACTGACGGAAAGTGGAAATAAGAGAGGAGAGTTGCAAGTACTTTCAAAATTTTTAAAACGAGTGTGTTAAAAGAGCAAAGCTTCTTGTTGTTTTCCCTGTGTTTTTCATTGAAGTAACAACCTAACAGCTTCATTGACGGAGTTGGGCCACCCACCCATACTCCACCAAGATTTTTTATACAAGGGCACCACCTGCCAGTTATCTTGTATAATAACACTCCTGGTTTGTATGCCAAATGTCCTTCTTTAGAGAAGTCCCTGAGAGTAGTAGTTGACCTCTAGACAAACTACTATATAGACCACGACTCTCCAACAAGTAGTTCTGATTTTTCTTTAGCAGAAAATTTTGGTCCAGGTGATCGTTGGGAAGAGTTTTTTTTATTTGACTGGTTTTATTATTATACAAAATTAATTAAAATAATAACTGTATAGTAAAAATTAATTTTTTATTAAACTAGTTGGATTTCAAAAATAAGCAAAAATTATTCAACATAACAAATTTAAATATCTCAAATTTTTATAAAATTTTAAAAAATTTTAAGGTAGTTATTATTCTAAATATAGAATGCAATTATTAATTCAAATTACATTAATTACCAAATATAGTAATTTTGTTACTATATATAGTAATTAATTAAATATTTTTGAAAAATTATAAAATTTTTAAAATATATACAATTTGTTATGCTAAATAACTTTATTTAAAAAAAATTGCTATTTATTAATAAAAAATTTAAGTTTATATATCACTAAATTTAGTAATTCTAGTTACTATGAAACTATATTAAAATTTAAAAAATCGGTCAAATATAAAAATCTAAAATTTTAAAAAAACTCTTTCTGACGATCATCTAGACCAAAATTTCGATAAAGAAAAAAACAATATTTTGTTGGAGAGTTGTGGCCTACTGTAGCGGTTTGTCAAGAGGTCAACTACTTTTCTAAAGGACTCCTTTAGAGACATTTAGCATGCAAGCCAGGAGTGTTGTTATACAAGATAACTGGCAGGTGGTGCTCTTGTATATAAAATCTTGGTAGAGAAATGAATACTATAAGTCACTGGTTCTCTTTGTTAACGAAGCTCATAGGCTATTACTTCAAAGAAGAACACAGGGGAAACAACCAAATACTTATTTTTTTCTTAAGCTGCACTCTTTTATTGAACCAAGTAGTTCCTTCTTTTACCTTTACTCGCCCTCCTGTCGGTCTTCCAAAATTTTTGCAAAAAGTAGGGATTTGGCTTACCCCCTCTAAAAGATTGACATTGTTTACTTTTCCAATTCGGACATACTCAGTAGAATGCAACCACATGACATGTTTGTTTATAGTTACAGTGCTACTTCACAGGATATAGATCAAGATCTCGAAACCTGGTGGTTATAAAGTTATACAGAGTTGGGTTAGTTGGAATAACCTAAAAGTTAGAATGAAGTCTTACAATAGAGATATACAATAGTTGTAGTTGTTATATAATTTTTACCAGCCTTGCATGGGTTACAATGGTGCATCTTCTTCTTTTAAATATATGTCATGATACCTAATCCCTTTTTGTGCTTTTTCCATCTTTTTCACTTTATGATAGAATCAGATTTAGGACATACTGTTCTTAATATGTTTTCTTTTTTTTCTTTTTGTCTCTTTCTTTTCTAAATTTTGTTTTTCTTTGGTAAATTCAGCATATGGTATTCTCTTATAGAAAAGTAAGAGATAAACTATTCTGTCCGAATCTAGATAGAAAAAGTTTTCAAGAAGGGATAGGTAGTCATGACGGGCTAGTAAATCCCAGCCAATGAATTGTGGATTCTAAATCTGAGGTAGATTTAGAGAAGCAAGGAGGTTGCTTCTGCTCTGGCATGTCACACATAGGTCCAAATGGAAACCGGGTGAATCACACTTTAGTACAAAGCAGCATAGCTGTAGTAGTAAATTCAAATGTAAAAGTTTGTAACATCTATGTTTAGGTAATAAAGTTGTGGTATGACTGCTTGTTTGCAAAAAAAAAAAAAAATCTAAAATTTTACTTAAACTTAATTATTTTAAAAACTGTAGCATAGATTTTTTTTTATTTAAAAGATATAGATTTAAAGAATATATAATTTAATTTTTAGCTTAATATCTTATATATCTAGCTCTGAATAAATTTTTAAAAAGTGTCCACAATAATATAGTAGGCCACTGTATATCAATTAATAATATTTTTATTTTGACAATTAAATTAATTTTGACAGTTGAATTAGTTTCAACGGTTGAATTAATTTTAACAGTTGAATTAATTTCAACAGTTGAATTAATTTAAGCTATTAAAAATAATTCAGTTTCAACTGTCGAATTTAATTTAAACTGTTGAAATATCATAAATTTTAATTTCACCCCATCTATATCTGTAGTGTCATATTTGTGCTAATATTGTAGTTATATCACATTTCTGGTTTTAGCGCGACTGTGTAGTGCAGCTACCCTAATTTGACTAATCAGCGATCGCAGAACTGCAACATTTTTTATTAGATTCCGAATACTCAAGAAATCCATACGCATAAATTTGAAAAAATTATACCGATCCTGAGATGAATTAATCTTAGAGAAGTAACCTACCTGAAAAATACCCTGGAAATTTTATTAATAACTTTTTTTTTAAAAAAAGGTATTAATAAAATTTCTTATAAGGATATTTTTAAAGTAGGTTACTTATTGAAAATAAACAATTATACTTCTCTAAGATTAATTCATCTCAGAATTGATTGGGACCGATAAAGACTGATTAACATCTCTAGTTCGTTACGTCGTTATGGCAAAATCCTGTAGAAGTAACACAATTAGAATGGAAAGATAAATTGAACATTTTGGACTATAGCTTTGGATCTTTAATCGATTTATTCTCAGTAACTCGTTCACAGATATTTACATAGCGGAAACATTTTACAACCAGATTTGCACAATGCATATATTACTGTTCTTGGGCTTTCTAAAAAGTAAAGGAGGAATTCTGCCGTATATAGCACCTGAGATTTGATAGGTCAATTGTACAGTATATTCAGGTATCAGATATTTACAGTCTTGAAGTTATTGCGACAGAAATTTCAATCGGGCAAAGAGCATTAGACGGAATGGTAGTCTTGTATCAAAAATTATCAATGGATCTAAACCTAATATTTAGAACCAGATTGTCAGATTAAATTAGCTATGAAATGTGTGGATTAAAATTGAACTACTGCAACAGAAATTGTTGAAATAATCACTCGTTGGTTGAATGAAATAGACAGGAAGATAATAATGAAATCAAAGATTAAACTAGAACCGAATAAGCAAATACAAACTCAAACTCAAACTTTTTTTAAAATTGAGTTTGGTTTGTGTTTAAGCTTAAACTTTTTAGTTAAATTTGATTTGATTTGAATTTGAATTGAAAATCAAGTTTGAATTGATTAGATTTGATCGGAACCCTAGTTAAAAATATAGAAAGCCCGCAGTAGGCATAACTTTATTATTCATAATTGCCGGGTACAGAATTATGATTATATTCACGGAAGTTTCTGAAGAAACAGATGCACTGGTCCAAGATCTGCCGATGAATTTCTAATATTAGTATTATGGATTAATAATGTTTTCGTTTGATTTAATCAGTCAAATGGATATATATTAAAATTTGTAAATACAGATTAAAAGAATGGAAAATTGGGTTGGGGACCTCCACGAACATAATTCGTCAAATCCATGTATGGCATGATCTGTATTGAAAGTCGAAGGCTTCTTATATGAGGGTCCCCATTTGGAGAGGTACCACCTGCCCACGGTAAGTGCCTGATCTGAACTACAGCATTTATTGCATGCTGAAGATGACAACCACCCCCGTGGCGAAATATACTATGTTGAATGCGAACAAAGCCCGCATTCTGAAGTATGCCTACAACTTGTCTATAGCATCGGGAGCTCGAAGCAGTTAGTGCTGTTGCACCTAAATCGTACTGTATTATCCAATTTCCATGGCGCATACGGGCTTCATATACGGTAGGCATACCTAAGAGATGATTTTCTGTATTTCACAAGAATTCACAGAAATAGATCGACTTAGCCGGCTTAGTCAGCCAATTTTCCAAAAAATTGGCTTAGTCGATTTTATGTCAGATTATATTAAAGTAACCAATCAGATTCGATACATTACCTCTTTTAGTACATGAACAGCATTCTGAGGTAAAAAATATTAATCGACTTTGACTCTAAGCCTAATTTTAAATATCAACTTGGTCAAGTCGATAAATAAGGATCGATACAAACACTAGGTTTATATCACTGCAGAATATCACAGAAAATAGTGAATAATATTAAACTGGGATGATTTAATTTAGCCCGGTATCGGTAACTCTCTGAAAGGTGGACAATTAATGAATATGAATTACGAACATGTTGGTCGGAAAGTTTCGGAAACATATAGTTCGTTAATAAAGTCTGCACGAATTTAGGCATCCACTTATTTGCGCAGGCCTGACATAGAATCCGAACACGTGCGAAAGAAGAAAAAAAAACAAAGAAAGCGAAAATACTCAAAAACTAGTGTTAAAATTGACCTTTGTGGACTAATAAAAAATAACGGGAATGAAGTTTACATATAAGAAACTCCAACTTATCGCTAAAGCTCACAACCCTAACGAAGGGACGATGATTTACTGCGATCACAGAAAACAGCAGAAAAACAGCTAACCATAGAAATCACAGTCACCGCAGAATGTAATAAAGTAGTACAAAAAAGTCCCGGAAAGATAGACAATACATCAACACAAATTACAAGCACGGAGAGTTGCGGAATTACGATTTGGCAGAAATTACAAAATAGATAATCACGCAGAATTTAGTCTTAACCAAAACGCACTTAGTTTATTTACAAAATTGTTAAAGCCAGGTCCATCACGATTTAAATTAACGCATTTTTTACTTTTTTTGCTTCGTAGGGCTCGTGATGGACCTGGCTTAAAGCATTATACATAGTACAGTAGTATACAGGTAGGAACGTCCCAAATAAGGAAAACCTTGGTTGACTCAGGACCGACGATCATGCGTATTTATTAGCCAATCAAAATTGTGAATTTATATGATTTAATAATTACGTATACGTATATATTAAATCATCGATTTCTTTTTTTTTGCCGATTTCTTTAACATTCTAAAACTTATTGTAACGAAAAAAATATATATATATACAAAGTTCCTTAT